GCTCCTTAGACCCATCACACTGCAGTGAAAATTCCTTACCCTTATGTCTTTGTTCCCATTCTTGAGTTTATCTGCAGGCTAAATTCCTAGAGTGGACTACCCGGCACAAGCATTTTGTGGTGGTTAGCAGCAGGGCAGTCAGTCCCCAGGCCACGGGAACCCAGGCTCCGGAAGGGAACTGCCCAGCCCTGCGCTGTCCCCAACATTAGCCACAGATCGCAGGGCTGTGATCCACAAGGTTTTTTATTGGCTGATTTTCAGAAGTAGAGCCCCAGGCCTTTCTCCCTGGGCTGGCTTAGTCTGGAAGCTCCGCTGACATCGTTCAGCATCACAGCCCCGTGCAAGCCTCCGCTGCACACAGGGGCACTGGCCCGGAACTGAGCTAGAGGGGAGCGAGTTCCACCACTGCCCGGTCAATGAATGCCTCACTTTATATATAGATACAGTCAGACGGCTCAAATAGAGGCTCCAGTTTAAACAATAAGGGAAGAGCCTATTTCACCACACGGCTCACCATCCCGCAGTGCTAGCCAGCTTTCTATCTCCGCCGAATGAATGGCAGGGAAAAATCAGAAAAATCGTCAAAGCACAGCTCCAGGTCCGTGGTTTTGGGCCCAGCACTCGCTCTTTGTAGGTGACTTCCCTTCCTCTCGCTAAAACTGACTTTCTTCGGAGCCTTCAAGTTCAGCCAATTTCCCTCCCTGTGGGCGAAGTGGAAGGGGCAAGGCCGGCCTTAGAAATCCTACCTCTTTACTGACGGGGCTGGCGGCAGAGGGGCCCGTGAGTCACACGAGGGTTCACTCCCGCTCCCCTTGGCCCTCCGCCTGGTGGTGGCTGCGTTGGTGAAGGAGCAGGAGGCGCCTCTGTCCAAAGGCCTGGCTGCAGCTGGCGCAGCGGTGGCGGGCAGTGGCCTGGCTGCCCGGCGCGGTGGGGGGGTCGTGACACAGGCGATGGGCGGCCAGCTTGGAGGGGAACGAAAACGCCTTGGGGCAGTGTGGGCAAGGATAGGGGCGGGCGTCGGTGGCGTGGTGCGTGTGGCGGTGGGCCGCCAGCTTGGAGGGGTAGCAGAAGGACTTGGAGCAGTCCGGGCACGGGTAGGGGCGGGCTGGCGCATGCGTCCAGAGGTGGGCCGCCAGCTTGGAGCGGTGGCCGAAGGCCTTCGGGCAGTGCGGGCATGGGTGCGGGCGCACGCCGCTGTGCGTGAGGCGGTGGGCCGCCAGCTTGGAGGGGTAGGAG